AAAAAATACTTTTTGTCGATATAGTTCAAGGTACTTGGGAGGAAATGGCACAACTGGGCAGCGTGCTGGCCGTAATGAGCTGTGGTGCTCTGTGCAAAGCCCTGGATCCTTCCTGCTTTCTTTCCTGCCAGTTGAAAGTGGGAGACGTTCATATTAAGTTCCTTAAGTACTCGATTTGGTTTTACAATAATATAATGGGTTTCTTGAGTGGGATAGGTCCTTGGTTCCCTATTTCTGGATGGTTTGTTAACAGCTTAGGAAATTGTGCAGAAGGAGGTAAATGGCTGTCAGCTCGGTGCTTGGGCCAATCATTGCAAAGTGTGTGTTTGCTGATTGGGGAAGTTGTGTGCTTGAGGTTAATAGATTACTTTTCTTTTTCCTAAAAATCTGTTGAATTGTGATTTTCACTTTTTATATGGAGTTGTAGCAGCTAATATTCATTCAGTGGTTTTTGTTTTGTATGTTCTTTAGCGGTAGCTTTCACCTCCCAACTTTATTTCAAGATTGAATCCTTTTAAATGAATCTACACATAATTCGTTACCCATTGTTTTTATCTTTCTGATGAATGAAATATGAGAGCAAATACCAATTATGTGCTTAACAAACTTTGAGCATGTAAATTAAGTCCTGTTTGAACATAACAGGAGTTATGTTTTTTTTTAAGACCATTTTCTTATGTGGGTTATAAGATGGTGTCTTCAAAATGACGACATACCTGGTCACCAGGGTGGGAAAATGGACATTTAGAATGAGTAAACAGAAAAAACACACGCCCATAAGCCTGGTGGTTAGGCTTTTGCCGTTCACTTGGTTGTGTTGGCATTGTATGTACATAATGTGGGTGAAAGATTTTTTCGACCTATTAATTTTTTATCACTATGCGGGATATGCCTTAAACATAAGCATTTCCCTTGGCATCACTCTAAGCTGACTTCCAGTGGTATTTAAATGTGTGACTATAAAATACTTCTACTGGCATTTCCTTACTAGTTAGCAGCTGTTCCAACAGCCTCCAAACATCTATTAAGTAAAGAGAGATTTGTTTGGTAACATATATTAATAGGAAAAGTGATCACAGGGCCAGGAGTCAAAGTTTTAGGGGGATTCAAGTACCTTGGTTCCTAACTGGAAAATTGTATAAACAGACAGACTTTCAATAGCACGTTAGCCTTCAGTTGAATTCCATAAAGTATATTGAGTGTAGCTTAACATGTTTAATTTCAGACATCACCAACAGTAATCAGATAGGGATTTCAGAAAACAATTTATTCCATTTCAATGGAATTTCCATTTTATTAGCTGTAATTTCAAATATGTAAATGGTAGCCAAAGCTGGATATGATGCTTCAGTTAAGATTTTTTTTTTTTTGCCCATTGTTTCTTCTAGCATCTTCTTGCCAAATCTTCTGGAGCGCTTGTAATTTCCTCTGTACAGAGCCCAACAGGCTCATCAGCAGCAGAAGGTAAAAATAATAGATGTGAGGAATTTCTGGAGATTTATGAGGTTTAGTTTTTTTTTTTGAAATGTACACTCTGTCTGGCTATGCTAGGACACGACCACATGTGGACTCTATGAATTGAAAATGTTATAAATGGGGCATCACTTACCCCTTGTTAAGAATACGGTTGAGGAACAAAAGATGTTTTCTGTGAGAGCATTTAAAGATTACTGACTTCCGAATGATGGTGATGCAGTGGAGTCGAAAAGATCCAATGAATACTTTAGACCTGAAATTTTTAATCTTGGAATTGGATGTGGATTCATTTCCCCTTGGTTTAAAGAAATTAAATTTTTATCTTTCTGTAGCTTCTTAAACTTCTCTGCTTTCCATGTATAATATTGACGGGGGGGGGAAATGGTTCTATTGGTACAAAAGATCCCAGCAATATCAGCCCACTTCTAATGAAGACTATTGACATCCCTGACATTTGGCATGAAGTACTGCCAGAAAGGAAATTAAAAAGTACAAGCCATTATCCTAAAGACCATCTGTTTATGAAAATAGTTCATTTCACATCGCTTTGTTGAGCATAAAAACGACTCCTGGTGGAGGACAAAGCATGCCTCTCTCACAAGCATGATGTTTCATTGTTTGTGAAAATGACCCTTTCACTTTTCCTGGGACTTACTCTGTTGATATTAATTAATCAGCTTTCATGCCACAAACATCTCAAGCACTCGCATGCAGTTCCACTTCTGTGGCAGGCATGGCTCTACGTCTGTCCTCTTACCTATGTCTTGTTAAAGAGGCGAGCAGGGCATTAGTAGAAGAGCCTCTTGTTCCTGCCTTTGTTTACCAGTGGGGTTGACTGAGGGAAGGGCTTATAATCATGGGTGCAATTTGGTTGTGGCCTCACAAAGTGGCATCATGCTCAAGGACTTGCACACATGGATCTTATGGAGATAATTAGTACTAAGAATATCACTTTAACCTGAGCCACCTTCCGCAGAGTTCTGGGAAAGGGAGAAAGGTTGTCTCCTATCTAAGGCATCCTATATAATAAAACCCTAATATACAAATCAACCGAACAGTGGAATGACTGGTCACTATGACGCGCACTGACCACCAGGGGGCAGACGCTTAATGCAGGCGCTGCCCCTGGTGGTCAGTGCGCCCCTACAGGGTAGCGCTGCTCAGCCAGAAGCTCATGGCTGGTGAGCGCAGTGGCGGAGGTGGGAGCCTCTCCTGTCTCCGAGGCAGCGCTAAGGAGCAGCGAGCCCAGCTTCTGG